ATTAACAAATTGCACATCCCCGATAACAGCTTCCTCTGGGGATCCTTGACTACTCAACACCAATTCAGTGACAGAGTGAAGGTACAACCTTACCATCTCTGGCCTCACCAGAGGGATGGAAGACTATTGAACTCTCCAACTAAAAAGTATCAACCTCCCACCTGACAGCTGTCAAAAGGCTACTCGACATCAGCAGGTTTAAAAGAAAAACATCTAAAATGTAAGAGAAAGGACTAGCCTTGTCTGAAAACGCATGAGCATGATTAAGGGTCCCGGTATGCACGCACTTCCAGAAGCAACGCTAACGAACAGTGATACATGCAACTACTACTGAATGCTTCTGAACCCTCTTTGATGGGCAGCGCACGTACAGTATCTTTATGCATGTAATTTAAAGTTGCTTACAAGTGGAGTAGCAAAATCAACATTATTCAGCCCAAATCATCCCCAGTCTGTATTACAGATGCACATTTTGTGAGCATAATTCCACCCTATACCAAGTAATTTCCAGGTCTCAACATAAACCATGAACAGTTGTTCATGTGGAGCCATTTCAGAGAAGTTCTGAGACAGACAGACAGCTTATGCCGCTGGGAGATGCAACAGCGCACAGCCACCGGCATAGATCTGAATTCCCAGTAAATCACCAGGTAGTTCAGTCATTTGCCAGTACCATTCTACCTGCTTTTTTTTTTTTTTTATTATCCACTGGCTTATATATTACTTTTACATTGTTCATAAATACAATTAGCATACAGAAGATTGCCTATTTTCCAGCAGTCCGCAGGGTTTCATTTCAGCTTTGAATAGTTTCATTAATTTAAATTTGTATTAAAAAAACCCCACAAGTTTTACGTGCTCCAAAGAATGTGACTGCAACTAGAGCAGCATTAAATCGAGATATAAGCTTACCAGATAGCCAGCCACCTATGAAAATACAGTAAGTTATGCCTCCCTTGCATGAGTAAGAGACTTTAAATTCTGGCTACAGTTGAAGGCAGGCATTACAAATCCTTCCACAGAAGGTTCTGCTGCATCTGCAGCGTGCCCACGTGCCCTCCCTCCTTTCTGAACTGAACTGTAAGCTGTCTATACCTTCATTTCTTCTGGACTCCAAAAAGAGAAAGCAGTAGGAGCAAGCAGAGAACATGCACACAGACAACCTACCTTGAAAAACCCCGATTTTTGGTAATTTCTCTTCTTTGATGTTTGCCCCGTTTCACACGTACGCTGCGGGTGAGCCCAAGCAGTAACCCATGCTGTCTCCAACTTCACAGCTTACCTGGAACGGGTCTCCGTATCCTCAAGGCAGGGGAATGGCAGTACTACTCTAGCACAGACAGCGTTGCTCCAGGATGACTCTGCAGCTGTAAAATGGTTGCTAAAGGTACGGCGGACCTTCTGCATCCACTCGGCAGATGCTAGGAAACATAATTTAGCAAGGCAATGTAACTTGTGCTGGGTTGAGAGGCAGGTAATTCCCTACTGCAGCCACAGTAGCAAAAATGAGAACAGACTTTTATCAGTTATCTAATCAAACCATTTTTGAAATTTGCAGAGATGTAAAAACACAGCCAAAACCAATCTGAACAGCTTCATCCTTGGTATGTTAAAAGGAGTGGGCCTACTTGACACTTAATTCCATGAGAACATGATGTCTCCCCGGGGTGGGCTATGAGAGACAGATGAACAGCCTGATCCTGTTTACCCAGTAGGTACATTACAGACGTGTACATTTTAAAGGCAATTTACTGTTAGGTACACCAGGTTTCAGATCCTTCCACCCTCATGACATAGGAGATCTGGTTTTTGGTGATATACGCTGTTACCTGAAAACAACCACCCTCAGTGCACAGTGGAAGCAAATCTGGAAATATTCCAGATTACCTGGAATTACTTAGGTTAGCGTGCGCTTCCGTGGGGGACCAGGTACTCTACGTACTTTTGCCCAGTGAAGCTAGGCTCAAAGCCGGGAAGTGTACACTAGAGTAACCAGCATCAAGTCCTTCAACCACTGAAGGAATATAGGGGCCCGCACGGATGATTCAAGCAGGTTGTATCTTGCCTGTACAACACTTAAGGGTTTACCCTGTCAACCACACTTAAGGATAGAGTTCAAATACAATTAAGATGACTGGGCCATGTTTAATACAACATACACGCAGCTCTCTTGAGATGCGGGCAAATGGTATCAAAACTAAGAATAAAAAAACCCATCAGCCCAGAGAAAGATCTAGAATGAAACACTATTTCATAACATTTTTTATCACCTGTTAACTCAAAACCACTTTTTTTTTAAATATCCATGACTTCTGTCAATCCCACTGCTTCCTTTTTTTTTTTTTGCCTGGAATATATTTAAAGATTTCCATGAATACAAAAGTGAAAGCCACGGGGCAAGAACATACCCACCACTGTCCCCAACTCACTCAATTCCTGCCTGCTTCCAACTTCCGTGAACGTATCATCTATGCGTAGACATGTCCTGTCAGGCCACAAGCGTTAGATCCCTGGGAAGACAACTAATCATCTAACTACAAGTTAGACGGAATTAAAAGATGTGCAGCTCAATATATTACCAGTCCTCTAGAGCTTCATAAAAATATAAAAAGTTCAAAAATATTTCTACTTCCATTATTATTTTGACTGAATGCAGTAACCTAAGGATAGTATTTCTGTTAAATGTAGCGCTTCAAGTCCAAAATCCAAGATTCCTACAAGTATTATGAAAGTATCTGGAAGTTTAGAAGACTGCAGCATCAAACATCACAAGATCAAGCACTCAATAGCTGAAGGAACACAAAACACATCAACAAAAAATGTTCCTTTGACCAACTCGGAAGAATGACTTCCTGAGATACATCCTGGAGGACATGAAGAAGACACATTTTGAGAGCTTTATGCTCAAGGAAAGTCTGACAGATTGGGAAGGATTTACATTCAGGCTAATTAAGAAAACCTGCAAAATTATAGATTTCCTTGTCATGTCATCTGCTCTGACACCAAAGTTGCAAAAATCAGGTTTCAGACAGGTTGTTGAGACAGCAAGAGGACTCTCATTCTGCAGCAGATCGTATCTAGTCTTGTAGTCACCAAGCGCCCAACTCTTGCGCTCGGTGTAAAACTTATTGCTGAGAACTGCCCTGTCACAGATGTTTCAAACACACTGGAAAGTGATTTCAAATGAACTTTTTGAGGAAAAGACAGCTAATTATTGTGCTCTAATGCAAACTCTGAAATTAAATCTGAAGTTACTAATATGTATTAATAAAGTCCAAGCACAAAAGCTTTGACATTTGCAGTTAGCGCAGAACCTGCCACGCCACCCACAATTTTCAGAAACAAAGGGTGTGATCACGTATGATCTGGCCTCAGATTTTCGTTTCTGTTATTTCTATTTGTACGTGATACATTAATGTGTAATATCACAATTGTTGCAGCATTGGTGCATTTAACGTCCAAAAGGAAATCAACTCTTGAAAACATATGTAAGAAGGGGTCTCTTGTTTGCAAAGGAACTGAGTAAACTCCCCCTTCACAGGAAGCACTGCAAAAGCAGGGAAAAGGAAGCAGGATATAACATTTAGTTTCAAATTAATAACTACTATTATTTAGATTTTTGGAAAAAGGGGAAAGAATGTAGTCCTTGAGCTAGACCCACAGTTTAATTGCTGTTTTTCAATTGAGTATTAGAATAAATTTCAAAAGATGGTATCATGTAAAGAGTTTATTCTACAACCATCTTTGATTCACTAAAACTGGTATTCCAAAGGGAATCAGAGATTTTGAAAAAATACCACTAATGCCATTTTCCTTCAGCTTAAATTATTTCTTTTTTATTTTTGTAAGTCAAATGAGTCAATATACTGGTATTCCTAAATCATCCATCTTGCTTTTGATGAATTGGTCTACCATCATTGTTCTCAGTTATGAAATTTCAAAGTCTCTTTGGAATACTAATTTCATATTTATAGGCTTTAATTTTTTGATTCCATCCTATTTCCCTGAATTTTTTCTCAAGACAGTTGCTGATGTAAAATTTAATATAAAATATTTAGTCACAAAATAGTATTGCTTCTATGCACATTGTGGTAAGATTATTTTTTTTTTCCAATATAAACTATACCATCTTCCATAAAATCCTAAACATATTAAGAACTGCGATGCAGAACAAAATTACACAGGGTGAAACAGGTACCAGCACAACAGTGAGATTATATTACATCAAAAAATTTTAATGGTCCCAAATATATACTCAACAACTAAGCATACACTCAGGGGGGCAAAAAAAAATTATGACACAAAAGTGACCACATCTAGAATTCCACTCAATCTTTAATCAAGAAGGGACAAACAAATCCCCCACCTCCAAAAAAAATTCTGCAGTTTAAAGGGCAAAGGGAACAGATTAAAAAAAAAAAGAGGAAACTTTTATATTCGGCCCTCCCCCGTAGAGGTTTTTAAAACCTGTTGTAGCTTGACTAAAATGTTCAGAATGTACGATTTCAAAGGCAGGTCTCTTTTATCCAAAGAAACTGCTGGCATTCTTAACGAGTGAAGAATTATGGCAAAACCCGCCTCTTCTTCAGAAGTCTCATACATGGTCCAAGAAAGCGTATTCTGATTGTAGCAACTGACCAGCCAATCCAGAGTTCCACGAACAAAACTCCTGCCCTGTTGGCTTTTTTTTTTGTTTTGTTTTGTTTTGTTTTTTTCCATTTCCTTCCCTGAGAAAAGGGCAACGTGTGGTCCAAGCTGGAGAGCTCAAAGGCATAAGTCTTTCCCCTAAACGAAATATTTCCCATTCTTCTGCTCCTTTGAATTGGCACTTGATTGGCAGAAATCCGTTTGTATAGGTTGATCTGTGTCACACACAGTAATTCACAAAAGATTGCTGCTTTGCTGTGGGTTTGTTTTGTTTTCGGAAAAAATATCCTTCCCCCAACTGGTAACGTTCTTCAGCAGTTGCCATTATGATGACTCAAGCTTTGCTTTCTTTGACAAAGGTAAAGTTTCCTCCTTATCTTCATCTTCATCATCCTCTTCATCATCATCAGGATAATCTACAAGCCCAACGAGGCCTCCCTACAAAGACAGACACCATTACTATAATTAAGAAAATGTTTGCACATTGATACCTTATGTTTGCATTGGAAAATTATGTTTGCACAGAAGCATACTGATTCATGAAGTTTTGAATAAAATGAAGCAGAACAAAAATAATCCATCAGGATGAATGAAAATGACATCATCTGAAACATGTTTAAATGCATAAATCCAAACCGAGGTTTTACCTATCCAACTGGATAGAAATATTTCCAATTGTAATTTAAGAAAATAAAAAAATCTACAGCTCTATCTGTAAGATGTAAATATTTTTTTTTTTTTTTTACTGAGCATAGCTGAGTGCAGCAACGAGCAATCTGGCAGCACTTCAGCACTTCACAATACAGAATATCCTTCAATTTGAATTTTTGAATTACAGTACTTTTAGAACACAGTCTGTCTTCACAAAAGCTAGTTTAAATGTGTAGTAACTAGGGGTACAGGTGACAAAATTTAAACTACCTGGCTAGTGAAAATGAAAGCATAACTAGTAATGTTAAAAACTCCCCTCTATTGCAAATAACCACAAATTTTAAGATTAGGAGCTCCAGACCCATGAAGAAGTGGTACAAACTTCAACAAACTCCTCTAACTATAATACTTTCTGAAGCTTAACCAGCATTTGACTACAATGGCAGTTATAGGTACTTTACTCAAAGATCATATTACTAATGCGTATAATGATAGACATCCAAAACAGAAAATTTCAGCCAACTGTATACCAAAATACAACTCAATAAAAAATTACACACATTTTGGACATACAACACAACACTGACTATATTGCACATAAAATAACAGGATCAGATCATTACTGCAAAACCCAATTTCAACACTGTTTCTAGTTTTTGACTATGGCACATTAATAAACAGTGTACATTACACTGAAAAAGGTAGCTTATGCCTGAATTCGCCAATGGTTTTTCAGTGCCCTGCATGTTCAGTGTAACCTGAACATTTTTCTTTTGCCAGGATGACTTGAAATTTTGGAGCCAATACTGTATGTAATACGCTCCATATGTAAAGACTGTGTTTCAGACTCAAGCAATTATTCTGTCTGGGAGAGAGCAAGCCTCCAGCAGAATTTCAGAATAGATTGAACTAAATTCCAAGCCAATTCTACCCCTTTTAAAAAGCGCTTGACTAACTACTGTATTTTTTTCATAAATGAAATAAATCTGCTTTCCCCTTCCTCCACAGAATTTAGAGGAAACGTCACTTAGTTCTTCCAACAGCCAAACGCTTCTCATTCAGATGTTTTCAACAGAAAGTGATCCAAACACAAACCCTTAAGCTACGTTCAACTATAAGAAAGAAAAAAACCTAAAACCCCATTTGCCTTTACTAGCAGTTAGATGAACAAGCAGTATGATAGCATTAAAAAATAAGGATGAATCAGAGCTATTCTGAGGTTACCTGAGAACTGAGATATGTACCTGACTTTTCAGAAATGGAAACACTTGTTATGAAAGTAAATTCTCGTTATCTGAACTACGCTGTACCAAGACTACCGTATCCGCCCCCCAGTGCTGAGAAAACACCAGTCACTATTTCCCTGACTTGGTTTAAATAGAGTTTTAGCCAAAAATCTGATAAAATCCAACAGTGTCCTAAAATGTATTTAAAAATGCTGGGTTTGGATATTCACTGCAAGTTATACTGACTCTTTTAAATGGGCTTTCTTCTTCTACTTCAGTATGTTCCAACCCAAAACTGTATGTTATTTCAAAAGGTAAAAAAATCATGCTAGGAAATTAAAAATTGTTTACACTTTGGCTTACAGCAGCGATCCCTTCATAATACAATTTATTTCTTTCACATGTGCCAGCTATAGAATTCTTAACAATACTAAAGATGGTAACAGTAGAGATTCTCAGTGGGGGTGGTGGGACATCATGGAGTCTGGCAAAATTTGGCAATGTTTCCAAAGCATTTCTGTATTTCTACCTGCCAAACAGCCCCGTGCAATTTAACAATAGTAAAGTATTGTTTGTACTTCACAGTAAAGATCACTGCAAGCAGCAGCTACTTGAATGCTTCATACTTTAAGAATGTGAGCATTAGAAGAGCTTTTATTTCTTCTTTTTAGAATCACGATTCTATGACTCTCTTTATATACACGCCAGACCTTAAAAATGCTAACAGCCAAACAAAAAGTACACACAAACCAGACAGTCCATTACTGCTTAACACGTCAGAATTCATGCAAACTTGAGAAAGATGCTAAAGCAAATTCCTAGTCCGTAACAACGAAGTCAATCTATGTCCACTCAAAATTACCTTAGTTGTAATAGCTGCCATCTGAGATGTGCTTTTAGAAACTGACCCTGGAGACCCAGGGGACCCTGGGGACCCGGGAGACCCTGGGGATCCAGGCAGATTACTTGCAGATGACTGGCTGGTAAGGTTAGATTTTGTACCGCTGGAAAAGGAAAGCTTGAAACTTGGGCTCTGACGACCTGAAAGGTTAGTTTTCAGAAGAACTTCCTTTTCTTCACTCTCTTTCACTGGAGAGAAAAAATAAACACCAAAAAAATCCCAATGTAAAGCAATATTATTGAGCGAAACGTTTAATTACAAATCATTTTACTGTGCGGGAAAAGGCTTAACACTTTGTACAACTTGGTAAAGTGAGTCATCGCAGACTTTTTCGTCACACTACTCTACCACCTACCAGGTGTTGTCATTGGCCAGGAATGAACGCTTTTCTTCTACCAGTGATATCACCTGAACATTTACACCAAAAATTTTGAATTATAAACCCAAATAAAACACGCGAAAACTTGACTATCAGCTAAGACTGTCACTCAAATACTTTAAGAACTCAATCAACAACAACATTTTGTATCACTCTGCTTTTACAGACAACAAAACTTGTTTTGAAGGGGTGGTCCATTAGCTTGGTGTCACAATTTCAAAATCGAAGAACTTCAGAACAAATACATGCAAATCCTTCATTGCAGTAGGATTAAAGAATACGAGTTATGGCTTCTGCATAAGCCACGTGGCATTCTTCTTTTCATCACTTACATTTTTTCCTTTCCATGAATTTGCTGATAGGGTCCATAATATCTTCATCATTTTTAGTTTTGTCAGAAGGGGGCACCACTGCCTCTCCATCTTCCATATCGTCTTCATCAGTATTAAACCACATTTCCTCCTCGTCCTCCAGGGTTCTTGCATCCCTTCTGTATCTATGGTTTCTCAAAATGGAGCGCATGCTGCAGAACAGTAAGTTTTAAAACTTTTGATTAAAAAACCAACTCATATTAATAATAAAACTTCTGCTTGACATTTACACTGAGCTTACAGATAGAAATATTTAGAGCAATAAAAATACCAGCAAATCACTCTGTAATGTGCATCTTTATTTTCAATACAAGTATCATTAAAAACTTCTTCATAAAGCATCAAATAAAGTACAACTCTGCTAACAGCACATTCAGACTATTCCATCTGTCCAAAATTCTGTAACTTACAAACAGCACCATTAGCACCAATTAGCACAAATGTTACTAAAGTGTTGCATTCAGGCTTGGTTTTATAGTTTGCAGTGCTAAATAAAAAACTGTAAAACAAATGAGTTTAGGTACTATAGACTTTTCTTCTGGAAATACTTTATAACTTGTCAGAACTTGGGGTCCAATGTGTTAAAGAAAAAAAAAAAAAACAACCCAAAAATCTAACATTAAAAAGTCAGCGACCTCTTTCTGCCACATCCACCTGTTACACTTTTTGGTCAGTATCAGTATTTTCCATTCTTCAGGGCCTTGGATACAAAGTGCTACTTCTCCCTCCCTATTTGATCTATTAATAGTATTGGTCTATCTCAGCTCCACCTTCCTTTTCTTTTTTTCTCACAGAAGCAGTATTATGGCCTTAGAGGAGAGGGACAGTGATGTGCACCCTGAAGAACAGGGGCAGAAGGAGAAGAGAGGTTGAAAACACTCTTTTCATTGCCAGGCATTGATTCTAATGGTCAATTTCCAATAAAAGCATGAAACCCTTGACAAATTTTCTGTAGCACTTGTTCAAAATTTACTGGCCACAATGTAAGTCTGAAATTTAACGTTTTTCATAAAGCCTCTGTTACTGGAACCAAAATGTTAGTAACACAATCTGAGCTTATTCCATTTTGAGAAAAAGTCTTGCATTACTGACTGAAGGAAAAAGCCAGAAGGGAAAAATTAGGAAATTACAAGGTATTGATAAAGAACGCTGAATTTACTTTTAAAAATAAATCTAATTCTGAATAATTTGCTTGCCAACACTATCAGCCGGATCTATACATACCGCATCATTTGACATTGCATTCAAATTCAAGTTCTGCTAATAAACAAAGCTATTATGTAAGTGGCACTCTTCTGAATACTTTTGTAGCCCACAATGAAATTTTTGGCCGCCTTCCTTACTGAGCTATTCTTTGCTAAAATGTGTGAACAGATTCTTGTTATTTTTGCGTTTTCTTATTTCTGGGGTTTTACGTAAGAAATTACACGGACTGTGACAGGGGTTGTGCAGCCACTATACAAGACGTAGGAAGAAGGTAAAAACTGGGCTGGTTGAGCTACAGACCTCTTGAAGCTATCACTTTCTGTTGGATAAACTCATGCGGCACAACTACACACAACTATTTAGCTAAACTTAAGCCAAGAAAAGACTAATGTTTTACTTCCTATACTGGCTGGACATTACTGAAGGAAGTGGCTGGGTGTTTTTTCCAACACACGCATTAATCGTAGGCTCGAATTTCACAGCCATTTAAGTGCTAAGCCGAGCTGACAAAAGCCAAAATACTAACATCTCACGTGTAAAAAAAAAGTACCCAAAACTGCAGATCCCACACATACTCTTGAAAGTGCTCCAACACTTTAAAAGAAATCTACAGTTATACTCTCATTTTAATTGTACGAGTCTCAAATTTAAATATTGGTTAAGAAATCTTGTGGCATGAAATAAAAAAACTTAAAAGTCTGAAATGTCAAGATGGTCTAGTATAACTGATCAGGATTAATTGTTTAACGTGTTTTCAAACTAATTCAGGACAGCAGAACAAGAACAGATCTTGCTAACAATTCCTAAGAGTAACTCATCTATTCACACAAGCATTTTGTTTGAATGAAACTACACATAAAAGTAATACCAAATGCCAAAAATAAATGGAGTAAGAAGTCCTAAACTTCCTGGGTTTATGCACCCTAACCTTTTAACCTTGGGTAAGTGTGTACTAAGGAAGGAAATTTTTGCTCTGGCAAACAGGAGTGATTCAAGTGTTACATCAGATTGTTTTTCACTCCGTCTGCAAATCTATCAGTGACAAAAAAGCATCCTCTGAAAATTTCTTTGCACATTCTATTTCTCAATCATTTTGGTAGAGCTTATCTAAATATCTACTCCCACACATAACTAAAATAAAAGGAATTCTGATGTGAAATTCTAAAGGAAAAATCCACGGAATGGTAATTCACAACTAAACAATCTTTTAAATCAAACAGTGGGAATCTGTTATTTAAGCAAATGAATTTCAGATACTTGATAGGCTTCTAGCCTCATTACAACAGTGTACATAAGTCTAGGATATGGCATTATTACTGGAGGGCAGCAGCTACTATATTAGCTGAAATCTGATGAAGAGTTTGAAGCAACACATCTGGAAATCACACTATTAATCAAGTAAATTCAACAATGCCCAAGATGCAAGCAGGAGTCTAAATTATTTACACTTCCCACTACCATACAACAACCCAACAATATTCCCAAAACAAAATTAAAGCACTGATACAGTAGTAAGAGCATTTAGTGCATTTTACCTGTCAAGTTTTGGATTATCTTGTCTTTCCCTTTGTTGCTCAAATCGTAGTTTCAGTCCTTTGAATGTTTGCACGTAATCTACATCTTCCAGTGCCTTCCAGTAATTTTCAATTACATGAGCTGTTAATGATTTTATATCTTCCTATAGGAACGAACAAACATAAAGTGACTTACTTTCATTCAAATGAATTTATTTAATACAATGTAAAAAGCAACTGAAATGAGAGATTATTTTTAAACATTCAATTGGAAGCACCATATTAATTAGCTTATGTAAAAATGAGGACTATGCATACAAGTGTGGTTAAAAATCTAGAGCTACTAGTATTTGATTAGCAAAACAGACATAATAGCAGCAATTTTCTAGCAACAGCTCCTTCAAAACACATGAACGGAACCTAAAACCCTGATAGAAAATTATACCAAAAACAATTCTAAAAGGTCTTTCCCACTATAACTTATAAATATTTTTATATTGATAGATTAACTGATAACTGTTGTAATCAGTCAATTAAAAATGTTTATGATATACAGACTTAGCATTCATATTGTTTCTTTCCTCACTGCAAATAAATTACTTACATAAAAATAATTATTCAATGCATTTGTTTAGGATGAGAACAAGGAAGATATTTTTCATCAGAAACTAACATCAAGCTTTTCCTTTGTGACCATATAGTGCTGGTTGAGGTCCTTTACGAAAACCTCCCAACTGTTCTGCCATTCCAGTTTAGCGTTGTGGCTGTCCAAAGCCACTCTAGACAGCTGAGACTAGCACAGGTCTGCATACTGCAGCAGGAAAATTGCTCCTGTGCATTGTTTGGCTTTCTTAGCACTGCACAGCCCCTGCAATATACTGCAGAATAAATACCTGAATTACAATCTACTAAGGATAAGCAGAGGAACATAAATCTTAATACACTGATTGTTCTCCTTTTTGGTTATGTGCGCAAAGGTCACCTCTTACAAATGGTAATACATCAGTAACAACAAAAGCACACTTTTTTAAAAGTTGCTCTCTCTAAAAACAAACCTGGATGGAAAAAAAGTTGACGAAAATTATTTAAAGATACCAAGAAGTATTCTGGAAATGAAACCTGGGTATCTATGTGAAAAGTAGGGTAAGAAAATGAAAGATGATTTATTTCCCCATTGCATGAACTGTAGAATCAGCACCCAATCTCACAGAGTGCTGAAAGACCACAGCACAGAAGTGTGGGCCACCTATACGAACTAACTTTTTCACAGCTTCAAAACTGTTTTAAAATCAACTCTTCCATAATGATCAGGTAATCTCAGTCTTGAATTACGTTGAGTCCCAACTCAAAGAGGTCATCAGCACAGATGATTTCAAGAGGTGACAAAGACTCCCTTCTTCATCACCCACTTACTCCTCCGCGACTGTCTGCGCCCTAGCTTGGCCCCACTCACACATTTAGTCTGTACAGCATCTTGTCAGAATCTGGATGTAAACAACAGTGAGGAAACAGTACTGCGCAGGCAGCCAAACTGGTGTGAATATCTTAAGAGACTCCCCCTGGAAGGAACTTTGTAGCACTCCATTAATATAATCAAAAAAGACTGATATCTCTTCTGTATGTTTCCATATTCTGTTGCATTGACATTACAGAGCACTGCTAAATTTGATGTTTTTGTAGCAGTAGTTTTCAAATTACATTCCTGTTGTAACAGACCCATCCAATCTGCATGATGAAACTTGATTAGTGCTGCCTTTGCAAATCTGGGTACTGTGAATACACTATCGAGTGCATTTAATTTTCAAGTCCTGGTACTGTATGAACTTAAGAAGGAACATGTACAAATATGTAACAGTGATATAAAAGAAAGTTCATTTAAATACCGTATCATATATTTCCATTACGATAGCATAATTTAGGGTACAAGCAAAAAGAAAAGTCGTCTTGCACTACAAGATTCAACAATACAGTAATTATCTTCAGCATATAACAGCACTCACCACTCTGATAAATTCAAACATCTCTATTATGGCAGAATTCATCAGATTATAACGGGAACCATTATTTAGAAATGCTTTGACCACAGGTTCAAACAAAAAACTTTTCATTATGTAACGGTTGTAGAATTCATCCTTTAGCCCGATTATCTTTCTCTTGAAACGAAGAGCACCTGAAACAGAAGTGTTGTCAAAAGAATTTTTAAATTTAAAAGAAAAAAAAAATCTAGAAATTACTCAGCATTAGGGCAATTTGCAGCCTCAGTTCTTATATAGCATTACATTATTAATTAGAACCATGTAATACATTCAGGTATTCTCTGCTTCTCAGCAGTCTTGACTATACTGCTGAAGATTACTTATCTACTTCATCATAAAGAAATCCTCCATCATAACTGTACAAGTGAAACCACCTTTATTAACTGAAGAAATAATATACTACTGTTTAGCTATATTATTACTACTAACATAAAGGCGTATTTTTGATTTTTTACATTACTTATGATAAAGGTAAAGTATTTTCTCAGTAGAAGAACTGGGAAATTTGCTTATCATTCCTGTTACTCAAATGTAAGTTTGATTACATTTAATTAAGTCCTATTTTACTAGGATGCAAGCTATCTAATTTAAAAATCGGTAAATGTCATTTTCTTCACACATATATTAAAGCAAGGACTTAATTTATAGCGAGTTTAAAGCCCTTTCTGAAACTCAGAAGCATACACAAGTACGTGAAGGTCCATGCATGAACGGAGAATATCATCTCCCTCTAAGGCACCACATTTTGGTTAGGCGTACATGAAAAAAGATTATTCAAGGGTTCTAAAACCAAACTCAGGTGATTAAGTTACAAACTTAACAGGTAGTTCTTATTGTCAGTCAACTTTAGAGTTTGTTTTACTCTATGGGCACAACAGAATCATGGAAAAAATCTGTTACTTGCCTCCAGAATTAAGCCACACTGCTTTGCTATTACTGTGCTGAGCATGGTGAAGAAACTAACAGAGTTTGACGAGCAGCACACTGAGTTTCTGTGCGGTTTAATGCAGTCAGATAACCGCACCTCTAATTGAATATCTCTCATAATTTCTCCTAAAATAACCCCAAAACTTACAATGGTTCTCTTAGGACATTCAATATTGAGATGCCATCTTTTCAACTCACCTCTACACTGAGATTAAGAAAAATCCTTCTGCTTTTAAGAAAAAAAGAGACATCTATAAATGGAAAATTATTTACTAATGCTAGCTGACACAAGTTGGAATGAGAAACAGTGTAACAGTAGAATTTCTGTATTCAGTCACAAATTGTCATGATCTGTGAACAGTTTTCTTCCAGCAGAATGAGATAGGTAACACTTCACATTCACAAAATACTAGTTTATTCTTTAGCTTTCAAACTTACACAATGCCAAGAAAGCGTGCTTTGAGGCCATGAGAACAAGTACCCTTCGCAGGATATCTTTGTTAATGATGTAGTTCTTTATGTGATAAGTATGATGTTCTACGCAGAAAGTTAGCAATTCCAGTATTAATGCCAAGAGTTGGGCTGTCTGAAAATCATCTGTAATAAAAACAAACCCAAAATAATTAAACATATCTAGGATATTGCCTTCAGAAGCTAACTTCAAATATCCAACTGCAGTCTGGTAAACATTTCCAAGTTCTTGTATATTCCCAAAGATAGTTTAGGGAACATGTTGCAGGGTATGTTTAGTCTTTAAATTTGAAATTGAATAATCTTGTTATGAACTGAGTATCTTCTATTTTTACAGATATGGCAGGAAACCCTACTAAACTATAGAAACAATTACATTTTGTCTGTCTAAACTCAGCGTTTGAAGGTTCAGAGAGTACAGAACTTAACACTAACACAAGCAGTCAGGCTTATTTAATAAAATCTCATTATGATTTCCACATGTCTATATCATGAAGTATTGCCCTATATGCAGTGTCTTGATGAAGTTTGTACCAAAAATGTGATCTATTATGCCTTTTAACAAAAGTACTATGCAAGAAATATCTCAGGCTCTTTTAACACTTCTAGGACATAATCATATCAGCATATACAAAACATAACTCAAATCCTGCTTTAAGTAGACAAATAATACATTCAATACACAATAGATTTAATCTTTTTTTAGAAGGCAGTGCTACCTTTTTAAAAATACTGCCAGATTGTTGACCATTAAAGAACACAAGTATTTTAAATAGTAAAAATCTCACTTCCAATCTATCTGGAAGCCAGTTGAGATAAAATAGATTAATTTAATCAATCCCTTGGAAATCTATACAATAAATTAAAAAGTTTAGAAAACATTTATGTATCATTTACATACAGAGAATCACAGAATGATCAGGGTTGGAAGGGACCTCTGGAGATCATCTAGTCCAACCCCCGGCCAGAGCAGGGTCACCTACAACAGGTTGCACAGGACGGCGTCCAGGCGGGTTTGGAATGTCTCCAGAGTGGGAGACTCCCCCACCTCTCTGGGCAGCCTGTGCCAGTGCTCCACTACCCTCAAGGTAAAGAAGTTCCTCCTCATGTTAAGATGGACCCTCCTATGTTCAAGCTTGTGCCCGTTACCCCTCGTCTTATCGCTGGGCACCACAGAAAAAAGACTGCTCCTATCGCCCTGGCATCTTCCCTTTGAGTATTTGTAAGCGTTAATAAGATCCCCTCCTTTTACATCCATTTTGAATCTGTTATATTATTAATAAACAAAGAGTACTGCTGCTAGTAGGCAGCAAGAACAGTTACTTCATCACTGATCTGTGCTATCTTAGTCTCGTGTAGAACCAATACCCTCAAATTCAGCACAGTATCGTGACACAGACCTTCTCAGGGGCAATTTTGCATCCTCTCTAGTAATACCTGACCTTAAAAAAATATTTACACGTTTACAAGTCTATATCACTGAACAGCCCCATGAGTTACTAAAAATTATACAAATATTTTAATTTTTGCTGAAGGAAAATCTGCAGCAAATGATCCTAAATCAGATCTCTCTGCTGAATTTTATACTTATAAATTATTCACATGACTAAATCATGAATCTACATCTTACTCTGAACTATGTATCATAGCCTCAGATTCTCTTTACGACAGAAAATGCCCTTTGACAGTTGTTTTAAACATTATTTTAAACATTGACATGCAACAGCCTTGATGTGCCAGAGTGGCATTACCTTTGCTAGGCTTGTCCTCTGTAGTATTGGCCAATAATGGGGCTGTCAGAACATGCATACAATGTTTGTAGAAGAAACCCAAGAACTCTGTCTTTTCGGTTTTCTAAAGAATGAAAAAAAAAAAAAAAGTATATGTAACACATATCACCAAATACTTTAAAAAAAAAAAAGTAATTTGATTTGAAGGTATTTACTTACATTGGCAGTGGCAAGCATATTTTCTGGATCAACCAAAGTACGAAGCAAACCCATGAGTAGCACTGCCCCTCCAAGTTCTGGGTCTGTGTCACAAATCATGTGTTCTATAATGAGGTTAATGAGTAATATATCCTAACGGGAAAAAAAAGAAAAGCAAAAATCAATTTTAATGCTACTCCTTTGCCCCAAATCTGAAATTACCTTCTAAAAGGTTTACCGCCTGGTTAAAAATGGTGCTCTATCAAAATTTTGTAAAGTGTAAACAGCTACCAAAGAAAACCCCCCAAACTTAACAGAAACAAACTTTACATGCCAATGACACATTCTGGTCAGTGGTTCAACAGTAAAAAGGCAAGCAGTGAAGAAGAGTCTTTCAAAGCAACTAAACATGGTTCTGAATTTAACAATCTAATTTAGAATTTAGTCTAAACTGAAACGCCAAAACACAAAATGTACAGACGCAGATACTTAACAGTCTCAAAATTCAACTGATTTCTGGAAGCATTTTTAGAGTAGAGAAGTTTTAATTTGTATCCTTCTTTAGAATACATCCCAAGAGCTTTATTTCCACAAACATACAACAGTAAATTTTATAATGCTATCGAACTTGAGATTATTTCCACCTAAAAATAACCCCAACGTATATTCACAGAAAACAAGAATAACACGTAAAAGTAGAAAATAGTATTTACATTTAGGAATCCCTACACTAAAGTTGCAAGCAGCTGGAACTACCAGTGATGTTCCCCCTCCCAGCTGCCCCTTTCTTCCAGTACAGAAGTAGCAGTACCAGCAGCTTCCTGTTCTCTGGCATGTTTTTAGCAGATACAAGAAAAAAACATTAACTACCTCCTCTACGGAAAAGGCAGCACAATGTTTTTCTCCACTGAATACCACTTTGAATTACCTTTCTTACTACTAGTTGTGCACTTAGCATTTTGTATTTATCAGCTACAGAGGATCTCTGGGAAATGAAAACCTCTGTCAAAAAAGTGTTCTTAAACACTCAGGACCATAATTGCACTTTCAATCTGTGTGATAATAAAGTGAACACAGGTTTCTTACAAGTAAATTAAAAACACATGTACGTGCCAAGATCAAGACTGAAACTTGTATCTCACATTTTAAGGAGGTCATCATTCAAAAACATTTTGTTTTGCTTGCATGACAGCTGATGTTAACCAAAATGGATGTGAACCAAAATGGTGGTTTATGGTAACCCGTTTTACTTCACACACAACGGAAGAGGAATATGTAAGCAGGCAAACACACATCTCACCAGGACTTTTAAAAATATGGTAATTCAGTATCCTGTAACCATCACAACTATATTCCTTACTTCTTCAGAATTAGGGCTTATGTCATTAATTGAGTCGTAAATTTAAAAGAGTAACTACAAAAAAAAATACACACGGTTCTGGAGGCCCTCTACTTACATCGTCATTCTGCTGCGCTTCCTGCATGACAAACTCTCGTACCATGGATGGGTTGTATTCAACCAAATATGAGAATATATCAGTGGCTGCGCTTCGTACTTGTGCATCATCCATACCCTGGAAAAAACAAACAAAACCATTTATATTTCCTTAAAAGAAAAGGCTTAAATGGAATGAAAACCAGAAAGCACATAGCTTTTAATTCCTACTTAAACATCATACCTAACTATTACTAAAACTGTATTCTAAAACTGAATTCTAACCTCTTCTTTGTACATTTGAACAACTGCTGGGCAAAATAAATTTTATGGTTTCCATGCCCTTTGGTCTATTTCCCTATTTTCTTACTTAACTGTACATCAAGAAGCACGCAAAGATAGGAAAGTGAATGAGAAGACAAATAAGTAAGAATGCCAGGACACTTACCAATGTCATACTGTAACTGCTTTTAAAGTTTTACAAAATTATTTTAAATGTTCTGAATCTCAAGCTAAGACAAGACAAATGAAGCAAACAATTCAGAAAATCATCTGACTGAAGTTTGTGTTGCTTACTTTTTAAAAAAACCTCTCTGGGGATATTATCACAAATAAAATTGAACTGACTTACCAATATGACTTCTAGTGCTGGCAGTATGCCCATATTTGACAAGGTTTTGAAAAATGCATCTCTGTTTTGAGGTTGCAGTGTTTGAGAGAATGCACAAAACTCTTTCAGAAAATTTACCTGCAAAACAGGAATAATACACTAGTTAGTAATTAAAAAAAAGATGCACAAATCACTTCGTAGTAACTGTCCCTTTCATGTATATTTTACAGATTTCTTACCAATTCCTGTCTTTTCTCCTCATCTGTGGCTTCATCTGTTAGTTGTGCAAACAAATCTGTCAGAAATTTTTCATCTTCCTACAAAGGCAAAACAATACCATTTGTTTATTTGACAATATCAAAAGACATGCAGTATAATCTAAAGTTCTTCTAAACCATGCCTCCTGCAATTTAAGAGAACACATGCTTGTGTACTGTAATCATACCAGTATCAACTTTCTAATTCAATTTTCAAACAAATTAGTCTGAACCTTGCTTTTGAGCTTTTATCATGTTCAACACCACTCCACCCCCCACCACTTCATTCTCAGTTACGATGTATCTTGTATTGGACACCTTTTGGGTGTCCTTTCTCTATTTTCTACTGCCATTCTCATCATTTTGTCTATGACTGCTTCTCTAACTTCCTTCCCCCTTGTCACATGCCCATTCCCCTAAACCACACAACAGTACCCTTGCTTCAGCTGCTTACATGTATTTATAAACATGATCTCCCACTCAGCCCTACACACACACATGTATCTTTGGAATGTTATGAGATCTTTGCAGCAGAACTAAAGCAAGGACATGACGAAGGGAGAGCTGCCTAACAGCAGGAACTAGGTGAGATTCTTTCCCCCAGTGCTGTGAGAAGGAAGAATTCTAGAAACCAAATCAAAATAACTGTTCCTATTACGTACAGCATTTACGGGGCATGCTGGCTGGCAGCAATCAAAAACCATTCCATTATTTTTCATGGTGCGGTACCTTGGCAAAACTACAAACAGCAGCCAACACATTACAGACGTATTTAGACTGAAAGAAGCAGCAATACTTAGCTTCCCATAACCGTCACGGTCCTAGTAACTAGAAGATTATTAAAACAGAAGTAAACCTGCCCTCATCCTTTCCCCAATATTATACAGTAATAAGACAGCACTTGCTTGAAAAAGACACCTGTGCATCAGATATGAACACATTTTTTCAAAAAGCCGACAGAGCGTTGTTTCTTGTGAAGTCAGTAACACCACGTGCAACAACCCTCCATCCCAAACCACAGTGCTAGAAACCCAGGTTGCCTTGCTTATGTTTACACAGCATAATGCAGAATCATGAAAGTACTTCAGATACAGCCACATAAACTTCCTAATATTGCTAATTATCTAGGTACCTCATCCAGACTCACCTTGCCACCTTGCTGACAAAATGCGTACCTCAGTTCCTCCAGCACACCGTGCTAATGCAGCTGTAACGCTGTCGCACCCCAATCCAGGATCTCTACTTGGCACTGCATAACACAGCTAAACCCAAAATAGTCTGGCATGGCTGCTGCCCTGGAAGGCATTTCACCACACTGTAAGGTAAACCCTATATTTAGGATCTGCCACTGCCACATGTTTCCTCTTGTTTGATGCTGTGCTGTGCTTCTAACTTGACCCCACAGTCAAGTGATACTGAAGAAGAATGATTTCTGGACACAATTTCAGGTACTATTTCTGTGACTACTTCAAAATCAAAACAGAAGGAGATAGGAAAGGCCTCATTTGAAGTTTAACAAAATTCACTCTGGAGGATCAAGCGCTGGAAATGTAAAGTTTGACTGTTAGATTTCAACAGTCAAAAATGTTGAAAAGAACTATTCGGGTCTTTGATTTCAAGAAACGTAACTTAAGCTGTGATGAAAGAATACAAGGATGTTTGACTACCTGCTATCCAGCTGTTATATGGCTCGGTAAGTTCTAATATTTAACTTGTTAGACATTAAAGGTAACATAAGCAACCCACAGTAGAGTGACATACTTGTTTACTGAAATAGAAACACCACAAAACCAAAAAATAAAACATAAAACCAGCTCTTTTGAAGAACATGCATGTTATTCACCATGATTAGCAGTGCATTTAAGAAAAGACTAAGTAATTTGCTTTCATTTCTCTTTTTGCAATTTTGATTAACATGTAAAACTAATCTCATCTATCAAAACTACTGAGAAGATGCACACTTATCCCCAGCTGGAAAGCGTAACCCCGATTTCCATTCTCACTGTGAAATGAACTTTTCACCTTCTTCATAATACCTGACAGTACGTGCAAGTCTCAGTGAGTGCACATCTCAGAATGATCATTGGGAAAAAAATAATGGAAATTTCAGCATTTAACTATATCAGAGCCATTATTAGTGTGCTTCTGCATAAAAAAGGGTACACAATATCACCCAAAGTATAAATCTGTATTTTTTTTAAAGTCAAAATGTGGAAGGAGAGGCAGAGACCCTACGCTGCTGCTGACAGGTGGGTCTCATTTATGACCCAGGGCCGAGCCCCAGAGACAGAGGTGGCCCGGGACACTGCACCTCCAGCACCACAGGGCAGAGCAGGGGAAGGTGCGGACAGGACCCCAGCCCAGCGCTCTCACCAGATCCTTGCCCGGTGCAAGACGTGGCCATCCGCAGTGGAGGCCAACCCACTCACCCTCTTACTGGGCTTGCAAACATTTGGGACTTGTAGAGGGGACTTCCGAACACTGGGAAGGGATGAAGACTTCATTGCTGACACTTAATGTTTCAGGAAGAATTTGCAGAAGTTCAGTATGTAACCATTTTTCATCCTTCCATATACATACTATAATACAGTATTTTACAATTCTGTATTAAATATAGTATTAAAGCATTTCCCACACCATCTCCTCTCCCAAACTCCATTAAATACACGGTATTTTTAAATTAATAGGATTATCTGAAATCTCTAGGCCTCAGAACAACTGTGATCTATTTAAAATCAGATGAATTAAGATGGACTCAAGTGATTTGAAACATCCCACCCTTACATGGCTAATATTCAGTAAATAGCAGTTATTAAAAAAAAATAAAAGCAGCCTATTACTAACTTTGCTGTTATGTCTTAGCCCTGAAACGCGTCTAGGCGCTACCTCATTCCAGATGCTTAATGAAAGGCAAACAGGTTGTTATTAACGGGAAAAATCCCAACCCTCTCACATTTATAGAAAAATTGTGACTGCAACATTAAACATTCTAAATACAGGACTCTCTCTCTCAAGCTGTAAAATTACTGACAAGGGCAGCATATCTAAAGATACATTCCTGAACAACACCACCAGAATCTATGGAAACGTACAGTCTGAGAACAGCCTTCATATACTTTAGTCACAAAGCACCAACACTGAATGCTACAATGACACAAGCTTAAGTGTTTCTGTTTTTTTTTTCCAACTTGCAAAAAACCCCTAAAATATGTCTGTGAAGCGAACACAGTGCAAATGCATAATACTTTGCAGTAGCTGGCCTCTTCATGCAGACAAGTATCAAAATGCATACGGATGTATCTTAGGAGCTTGGAAGGTCACAAATGTCTTCCAAGAAAATAAAACTGCCAACAATAGTTTAAAGGGTAATTGTAGAACCTAGCAATTTTCCCCATGCACAGAAATTATTAAATGTGCAATACTTGAACTATGCATATACCAAACACAAGTTATTAATTTAAGCTTTTGCAAGATCTAAGTAGATGCTCCAAGAATTTAACACCTTTCAAAGTTCTACTCGCTCAATCATTTCTGACTTTAAAAACAAGAAAACCCACAAAGTACGAGCACAAAAAAAGACACTATTTACATTTGTGATTAAACTTTCAAAGCAGTCTTTCTCCTCCCAAAAGGCACTTAAAAAAAGCATTCTTCAAAAGCAGGCTTCTCAAATAGAATTAACTTCCAGTTATCAATACTCCATGTCTGCGATTACAGATGAATGACAAAAAACATCCCTTTCTCAAAAAAACATCCAAGAAACTCAATGACACCTACACTGGAAAAGAAGTATACTTTCCACCCTGGTTTCCACCTCCATATTAATTTTTGGCAGAAATAGTATTTCAGCCCAGAAAATGAAAGTTTTTTCACAAAATGTTACCAGCAAAGAGAGAATCACAGCTTCAAACATACATTCCTTCCTGCTACCCCACTGGAAGATTTCTGAGTTCAAAATGTTTCAGTCTCCTTTATCTCAGCCTCCTTCCCACGCATGCCTTCAGTCGCTATCAATAAACTATTTCCACTTGAGACAACACGCTGAAACAGCAGCGGGATCCACCTAATCACAACTGGAGTTTCTGTACTACATTGAAAAATCATTTTCTACAATGAAGAAATTAATCTCAGAAATCATTAATGTCCATCACTTGCAAACTTCTTTCACTAAGTCATTTCCCCCAGAAGCGCCATTCTTTTTTCAAGGTAAATTTTGCTGAAAGTACATCTCCAGAGTTATTCCTGAGCCAACTACTGCAAAATAGCAGACCGGTAGGAGACGTTCCCATCCTAATACATTTGGGCAAAACTACCAACATGCACTGACACAATTCTTCCTCTGAAACAACTACCGATAATAACGTTTACATCCACGGGGTCCTGATAAGAATAAGTAACTATCGGTAAAACCACTTTTAAAATTAAAAAAAGCCTATTGTTATATATAAATCCAGTAAAATATGCAGATGTACCTAAATGCCTACAATTTTTTAGTTATTAAAAAGGGAGATAGGGACTATCCGTAATGTGATTTCTGTATTTAAAAAAGCTGATTTACCAGTACAGTAATGCCATGCGATCACTGTTGTACTAGGTACATACATTGTTTTAACATATATCCAATTTTCCCCTTCCACGCTCACTTTCCTGTAAAGACCCTGAAGTCCAAACGCATATACTCAAAAGTAATCCTAACAATATTCTGTATTCTGGAAGATAAAAACACCGCAGGATCTTGCTGGCAAAAAGAACACGCCAATGAGAAAGGGGGGAGAGAACGGAAGGAAACAGTGTTTGCTCACTCTATGGCGCAGTTTTGCAAGTTTTCGGTTTTTAAGAACTAGTTAATAAAACAAAGGGAAAGAACTGGTGGCCTCCAGTGTGAACATTAGTATATATTTTTTAAATTGCAAAAGAGCGTCATATAAAGTAAGAAACACCACTTACCTGTCCCACCCCCACTCTCAAAACTTGGCGAACTCCATGTTTCAGCAAGGTTTCTTGGTGGCTATGACATCTCAAGACTAGAACAGGCTGGACCCCAAGCAGTAAGAGCATATTAGGAGGGGCTGGAATTGGAAAAAAACGTTATATACCTCTTTCGTATCTTACGTACAGCAATCATAAAACCTGTAATTGAGCAGGTTTCCACAGCAGTTAATTCCGTAGCCTGGAAATACTGGTATCATGGGTTTACTATCCATCATGACAAGCAGTAGCTAGTTGAGTGAGATCTTGATATAGTTACTTAAAATGACAGATCTTAGACAATTAAATCACAAATAAACTAACCTCCATTTCTCAGAAACGCCCATCAGTGTAAGCATTTTTTTAAAGATTATGGGAAAGCTAACCTTAGTGAAGAAGGAGGGAGGAATACAGTTCATAATCCTAAGTGCCAAAGGTGACCCATTCTCTATTTTTGGTTTTACCACAGAATGGGCAAGAGTTATTTAGCTCCCTATTTGCCTAGAAAGCAAAATCATGGAAGCAGGTATCTTCTATGACTACAGAATTTATCTCTTTTTTTTTTTTTTAAAGACATCCAAAATGTCTCCTAGTAAAGCCAGAATTCTTAAGAAACAACATATTCTTATTTACAGAATTCACTAGTTATAATTGAAAAACTGCCCTTAAATGTCAGTGACCTTTAATGACCTTAACTGTTCCATGTTGACACCAAATACCTTAAATAATTGACACAGTGGTAATTTTGAGTAGTCACCCAGCCTATAAAAAAGTGCAAGGCACAATCTGCACAGAGCCACGTACAAATTTCCAGCCACTTTTCTGTAACTAAGGTATGGCTGAGTCAATTTGAGATGAGGGTATTGCGAAGTGCCACTTCAGTCAATACAGAGCATGACATCAAAAGGGTTCTTTAGAGCTCATCTTTTTTTTTTTTTTATGGTGGAGGTAACAGTTTTTCTTCCGTCCTTTCCAGACACAGAGAGAGAAAAGAACAGAATATAAAACAGCTCAGTTGCACACGCAATAGTTGGAGTATGTCACAGAATACCGGCTGCTCAGGGAGTTTACTTTTAAATTGAGAAGTAAAATTTCCTAAAAAAATAGCTGTTTGGTCACACCCTCAATGGTCCAGCAGAGACAATCTAAAGTCAACAGAAAAAGGATTAACAACCTCTATTATGCATCAGCTCACTAAGATCTTGAGACTTATCCGTGGCTCACAAAAAACTACCATGAAGCATCCCAGAAACTCTCCAATTAATAATGACTTACAAAAGAAACAGCTTCTTAAGCATACAGATAAGGTTAGTGAGCACCAGGATCTCATAAGATCTAAAATAATGAATGCCAGGAACTCCAATTACAGACAACTTTAAATCTTTCATGAAATAACACACACCCTCTCACCAAAGTATTGTGATACACCCAGCTACAGAAATGCATGTTAAACCATACACTAATGGAAGAAAGACCTTAAGAATTAGTTACAGAAGTGAAATCAACAAAAGCAGTCTTTAAATTTTGTTCTGAGAACATTATTTATTCTGCTGAATGAAATGAGAAGGAACATACACATTTTATACATGGACTGTGGGAATGACCAATGGAGAACGAAACTTTAAGGGGCAGAGATTACAGAAAAGTGCAACCTGGCATACTGCTCTATAAATAAATGAATAAACAAATGCCAGGTAAGTAGGTTTAAACCTTGGTTTAGAGCTACACTGTGAGAAGTTGAAAAATCAATCAATCAATCAAAGCCTTTCAATCTCTTAAAAATGCAATTGGCATGCAATTTGTGATAGCCTCCTTTAATTTCCCTCAAAACCAAGAGCTGACCATCAATGTCAAATGATTTCCAACAGATTCTTATTTTATTTATAAACTTATTTATAAAGTCAGGGAGTTCCCCCTCAATGCTATAAAACTGCACTGTGAAAGGACTAGGAAACGCAATACAGCATAGGGTATATTTTCTTCCTTGTGCGCTACCACTCTTGGCTCCTCAAAGCTGTAGAAAGCACTATAACAATTTGAAATATTTAGCTAACTTTGAAAGTTACGCAATGCTAATTCTTCTGGCTCCACTGCACAGGGAGTATACTTTATTCTCAACCATAGACAACAGCAACAGAAGTGAAGATAAGGTTCAGAAACCTGCAGTCACAAAACACATCAAAATCAGATCTGAGCCTCTATTTCAACTGTAAATTGCAACTAACAAGTTTTGCAACCACACTAAACCTTGATATTCCAACCCAAGCTTACCCTACATATATTAGCCTAACACAGATTGTATGAGACAGAAAAAAGTAAACTAATCAACCACAAAACCTCCCTCAAGTTACCTTGGCATCTCTGGCACCCGATTTTGCAGGATCAGGTCCCCTTTTTCCTTGCTCAGTTTCCTTTTCAAAGATCAAGATCCCTTTCAGAAACATCCACTGACACCAAGACTCCTGAGTAATTCTTCCCCTCCTCCTCCTCAAGCCAAAATGTATCATGTAAAGTGTTGCTTTTAGCAACCCTTGCAAAGAAGTCAAGATATTTCAGACACTAGTCATACTGGATGCTTGAGTTGAGACATCTTAACTGAACATTTTTCAGCACTCTCTCTCAGTCAGGCTTGTAAGCTCTCTCAAACTGGCCCCTCCAAATTGATTAAGGCCCTCTGACTGATTCAGGTACACATTTGTGACTTTGTTTATCAAGGACGCACATACAGACATGAAGAACTTGGTTCAGTTGCGCCTAAGCTGGGGTCTGGTATTACTGAAGATGCCCCGGGTGTTCCACCAGGCTGCAGTGGCTGTTTCACTAAGTGATGGTCTGTCCCCAGGGCACATGCCTCAGCTGCCTCGTCTTGCACATCTGGCTGCTTATCAAATACTCCATGTGTGGACATGATGGATTAATGCTCTGAGAGAGTGGATTAAATACTATCAGTATTCTGACCAACTGAGTGTGGTGGATGAAAAGTCAGGATGTCTAGTTTTGACAATGATTTGCCATATGAGCTTGCAAAAGGCGTTATCACTCTACTTTGTTGTATTTTCCATGAAATTAAACAGGGTACGTTCTGAGATTCAAATGAAGATAAATACAATTAAGGTAGCCAGTAGCATCTAGCACTTCGTCCATTTCTCCAGATCAGACAGCCCCTACAAAGACAGTGGCTATTCATTTACTAAACATTAGGACAATTAAGACAATGATAATCATCTTCCACAAACCAAAATAAATGTGCTGTAACACTTGCTGAGTCAGCTGAAAGCTTTAGGAAGCTCCCACCACAGAGACGCGCCACCTATTTCTACACAGTTCAGAAACTCCATGGGTTGGTGCAGAATCCTTAAGACATGTAGGTAAGATATCTAAAGCACCACATAATCTCTTTACATTTGCAGTAAGACATACGTCATGAAAAATCGGTAATTCCAAGCAGTATTATTCAGGGACTTATAAGACAAACCAAGAAAACATTGAAGCACCCAGGGCAATGATATGTTTTGAACCTGTAGTTTCCAAACAACTAATTTAATTTACTTCAAAATTAGAAACAGTTATATCCTGGTATGTCATTATATTTGTGAAATTTAGGTGAAGTAATTTGATTTTTTTTTGTCTTGGTAACATGACAAAAACTATCCTTAACTGTAGTGCCTAAAAAGTCCCAGAATACAGAAAAAAAACCCTAAAAATACCAAACCTTCAAAATGCAAACAGTACTATTAATTCCAAACAACCTCATTCAGGATTCTACATATGTTTGCTCCATTTAAATCAGTTACAGAGAATCTAGTCCAAAATCTGAAATTTAAGAACAAATCAGCTCAGTACTCAGCCTTTTATGTCATACTTCAAAACCACTTTCAGAATCACAGAAGGTTCCACTGAAGCACCTCAATCTTTCCAAGAAAAATTATCCAACTTTCTCTGCCCAAGCGCAAATAAACTGGGAAATTCTGAAACTTACCTGTAACATACCAACTATTTCCACTTTATTAAAAAAGATGAAAGAATGAAGTGTTGATAGCATATTTTCCTCAAAAACTGAGGGAGTGGGTAGGACCATATCTTGAATATACTGTACTCTGTATGTCTGATGTATTTTTTGCTTCAGCTCTGGATCGGATATAGGAATCACCTCTTTAAATTTTGCTGTTTTAGTCAGAAATTCCCTGTGTTTCCGTGACTGTGATAAAGACGGATCATATTCTAGGCATCCAATTACGTCCATTATACATTCCTCGGAAAACATGACTTCAAAAAGTGCAGTTCTGTTCAAAAGGAAAATTCCCTTGATAATTTCATATAAGTGGTGTAGTCCTTCAATGTTCTCCAAGTCTTCGCACACATGAAAAATTTCTAAGAGCTTCTTAATATAGCCCTCATTTTCCAGTGCTAGTGCGAGTTTTTCACGACGTAATGGTGAAGGCAGTGAAGATGCCACAAGTTCTGCAATTTCTTCTAGTCGACTTAATTCACAAGATGGCAATTCTAGACCTGGTGATGACATATCATCAAAACGTTCTTCCTCAGATTCATCGACAAGGTCCTGAGTAATATCGACAGAAGGGTCTTTGCCTTGAACCTACAAAATAAGATGTGTTCGGAAAAGTGGAGTTTAATGTTTACTGCTACTTGAACACTTTTTTAAAAATATCATTTCAAATGCCCCACACTTTTTCTTTGTATGGCCAAAATAGAAGTGCAAATCAAAGTCTGTCATTGAGTACAGCTGGACTGCAATATAAGAGATAATGAAAAGACTTCTTCAAACAGAAGGCTTTACAAAATTATTTCTACATTAGATATTTAATTCCATTTATTTTCTATAAAAAGAGGAAGAATAAAGAAAGAAGCTACATTTCTGAGTACTTCAAATAAAAAAGGAAATTCATAATTACTAGTATGGATGACAACTTTTTCATAGACTACTGAACTAAGCTATTTGTTTCCAGTCTTTATACTCTGCAGACAGATCTTCAAATGCAAACCAGTACTACATTATTGCAGCAATAGCTTTAAACATTTATCTATAGGCTATTTAACTGTTCTTGATGCTTTTCAAAGCTTCTGCTACCTCAAACAGAGAAGAGGGTCCAGTCTTGTTAATTTAATTGGTGTTTTCAGTTCTGGAGAGCTGCAAGTCAGTATCTGTTACCGTGCACTTTCTAAATACTCAACAGAGCCACAGAATGCCCTCTTAAGAACAGAAAACCCCAAACCAACGTTAACAAAAGAGTAGTGGCAATCTGGAGCTGTCAGAAAAACAATGCACTGGACCTGCAAAAATCTCTCTAGAGATAAAATGAGGAAGCTACGGAAAGTATGAATAAGTGAAAAAAATAGAGACAGATGCTTGGGCACCACAGCATTTCAGCTTTAATGACATCTTAATTGCAGTATCTGCTTGGAGTCTGATGTGTCAAATCCGTAAAGGCACTGCTGTGTAGAATGGTATAAGGTACTGTTCTTTTTAATCTGGAAAATTGGAAAAAAAAATCTGGGAGAAATGATTCTTCATGGATAACAGCAAGCCTACATTTGCTGCACAAAATCCAGAATGCAGTGAAAACCCACATACCGTTCTGCTTACGCATCAGCAACTACTTCCAGCATAAGTGGTATCAAAGTTTTTCTTTTAGAAGAAGCTTTAATGACTGAGGAATCTTAAGATCTTTAAAGCACGCTAGACACAAATACAATAGCATGGCCTCAAAACAGGATGTAAAGACACTGGTTTCTTACAAAAATATTAGATCTTTACATAAGGCTGAGGAAATTCGGCTTCTTATCTGGGTATTTCCCAAGAACACAATTTCCCCTTTCCCCCATTTTGTTTCTGTCCCCAACTTTTGGTCCTTTGATTGCCAAGGTTCCTGGAAATATTTCTGTACTTATTTACATAAGTTTCGGTACTTATTTACATAAGTTGAAACTGTTAAACTGTTGAAAAGACTAATTGCTAAAAAAAGGAATGATCTATACACATGCAATTATGAAAACAGATTTCTTTTGCCTTATTTCTGAAATCAGTGAGAACAAACTCCAAAAGACAGAGTGGAGAGTGCTAGATGTTTGTTAAGAACAGAAAGAGAGAGCATATAGAGAATTAGACAAATTTAGAGAAATTCCACCTAACATAGTATAGAAATTGAGAAAAGTTGTAATGCTTGGAATGGAAGAAAAAACTAAACAAGAACTGACAAATTGCACTAACATCAGTGAATATATTGACTAAATTCTTTTAGGTATTGGTTAATAGCTAATACTTGACCAAATGTTATCCAGAAACAATACTGATTCAGTGACATATAGTCATCCAGTTGTAGTGGTAAAACATGAAGAGTTAATTAGCACATATTAAAATGTATACATGCTAGATATAAATTGTTTGATTTCTTTAAACTGGAAGAATTATAGCTTTAAGGTGACAATACAGGGATAGAGCTATCTTCTACTTCAACTATCAGAGCAGTCTTTCATACCCTGACAGTCAACAGAAGCATACTGTCACATTTACATGGAAAAAAGTTCTGTTGAGAAATTCAATATTCCCCTCACCTGAAACAAATACTCCAAATATACTTTAAGTTCATATGAAATTTCTGGAAAAAGGAAAAAGTTTCCAAACTCAAAAATGCAAAATCTGGGGTAGGTGACTACAACAATAGTTTTTACTTTATATCTACTATGCTCAGATTCACCTCTTCAAACAGTCTAAAAAGTTTGAACACACATACACACACACATTAAGATGACTTAGGTTGTCTCAATCACATTTATCAAACTTACCTGACATATTTTTTCCCATATTTCATCACATCCTGCTTTTTCTTGAAAGCTAAGTGCCAAATCATAATTTTCAGCTTCAGACCACACAATCAAGGTATCCTTTAAAAAGAGGAAGAGTCTGTTCAGGCAACGTATTTCAGATTTTACAAACCTGAATAGTGCTTAAAGAGCAAAATTTTAAGATAAAAACACCTTGACACCTAATTATGACAGGACAGTATTACAACACAAATGAAATCATCACACTTTGTAAGATTTTTATACGTTCTGAGATTCTTAGGATTAAAAACATTTCTGCATAAATCAGAATGACAAAGTTCCAGAAAGATACCGGAAGTTTTAGTTCTTAATTCACATGACTGTAATATTGTAAATTTCAAAGAGGCTGATCTAGAAAAAGTACTTCTACCTCAATGCATGCTCTGATAAAATACGGTAACAAAAGCAACGGGTTTGGGGTGGTTTTTTTTTTTAAATCTGTTTTAATTGGACCACATAAAACTGCACGTATTTTGTAGGATCAAAGTTACAATCTTTTTTTTTTTTTCATTTTGGTAGGCCCCAGAAGACACGCTGCTAATGCACAGAACAGCTGCTTAAAAAGCAGCCCCAAGATGCCTACAAACTTTAAACAAGAACCGAAACTTGAATATGCAACCAGTTAACTGCCTAAGAGTTTGTACACCTATTACACTGAACCACACACACCATTTTTACTCATTCCAAACTGTAATTCTGAAAGGATGTTTGGCCCTAGGTTTCTAGAAGTTAATTGAAACCGTGCTTAGCTATGTTTACTACCCAGACGCTTAAGCTCTCATCTACTTACTAGAATAGTTCAAGAGTTTACCAGAGCCCTCATATTGCATGCAAAAACAATATATGGAAGCGGAAGCTGATGCTGCAAACAGCAATATCACACACTGATAAGGTATTTGATGCAGTAGCTTACAGACAGTCTGCCAAATAACTGTTAGAATAAAAAAAAACCCAAAACAAACCACGATAAGATAAGAAAATATAATCTGCATTATTTACATATTGATTCAGGTTTTATTTTAAAAGTCTTTTGTCTTCCTATAACAGCTAGCTGCAATATAGCCACATTAAATATATATAGCCCCATGAAACTGCATTATCTCAGTTAAGTGCTAAAACATGCATTTACTCACTAGGACAAGAGACATGAGAAGTTTTCTACTTCTATTTCAATAAGAACCATTAAACACAGTATTTTTGCTTCATTAAGTATAGATTTTGCTTAAAGGAATTACTTTTAAGTATTTGCAAAAGCACTGTAAGTGCTGTAAGACATTCATGAAGCTTAAGACAGTTTATTAATTGGGCTTAATTTATTTCAAATATTAAATATATTTATATCAAATATTAAACACCAAGGATAAGGAGAAATCTTACATTTAGATTTTGGTATGCATTTACTAGAAAACTCCTTAAACTAAACTATACTCTAAATAGCACGACCCTCCATGAGGATTCGGTCAAGCAATGCAATATAATCAATTTGCCATTACCAGAGCAGCTATCCTGCTTCAGAGGCGCTAATGGCTTTACCTTGCAAATGGCAAATAGTTTACCTTTTCCTTTTCCAAAGGGTTGAGGAAGAGGTGGTACACAGAAGAAAGGGATTTAGGAAGACCACCTCCAAAATACAAAAGGAAGAAGAAAGTCACAATTAATAATTTATTCTCTACAAGACAGGTCACGGTGCAAATACTCTGGTAATAACAGATTGACAGCACCTCGTACTGCTGACTCCTGTAGCCTAAGAAAAACAACAGCTTACAAAAATTTAGGAAGGGAGGTCCAAAAGAAAAAAAGGGGCTTTTCTTTTTTACAAATAGTATGTACCTTACTACGGTATTCATTGTATGTATCAGGTTCAAAATCTAATACATTAATCTCTGCAATTAGTATTTTTACAGCAGTAATTTTCAAGGCCACTGTCTCATCAGCTTCCCACTGAGTAGCACTTACTTCATTTAAAAAAACCCAACCCTAACACTAAATCTTAAGTAGACCCTAGCAGATTTCCAACATTCCTATCTAATTATATTCCATTTAAGTGGAAGTGGTTAGATTTCTAAACAAGCCATTTCCAGAAGAAGATCAAAACGTATTTTCTTCTCTATAACGAGACTAACAAATAGGGAAATAATTGAAAGAATAAAAATAAGGACAGTATTATTTACATTAACTGCAGTAAGCTGAATACACAAAAGTTTTAAGTCTTGAATAAAATACAGCACTGGACTAAGACAAGTCAGTCTGTCTTTTTTGTCTGGGGAGAGGAGGGACGGAAGGAGGAAGGCAGGCAGAGAAAAATGAAAGGGAAGACACAAAGGTAAAGCTGCTTTTGAAAACTATAGTCACGGATGTACAGAAGTGTATTTGGCCATGGCATAGCAATTGTTCTTGTTAAACAAGACCATCTACTATCATACATGGAAGTTCAGATAGTATTCTTTCATTTCTACTTGCTCTGATACTTTTTTTAATTGTTTCTTCTTTGGAAAGCAAAATAAGAAACGGCTGAAAAATTATTTGAGCAGCAAAACAAAGATCTTCAAGTTTGGTTTATTAATATTAGAAAAGTGTTTTCCAACTGGCAACATTAACAATTTCAAATTATTAGTTATCTGTTGTCTAATCACACAAGGATTTCATATTATAGATTAACATCAGTGCCTCAACGGAAATCTATCAATTGCTACTCTCCAGATCTTTAGTAAGAGAACATTTGTTTGTACATCCTTTCTTGCCTCAAAGAGCTTTTCTAAAGAGAACATGAAACAAAGCAAGAAAAGCACACTTCACTCTGTTGCATAATACACAGTTCAGTCAAAGTTTAAATTCACTGTTAAATGCAGACAGTTATTAATGTAATTTCATTTTCTTAATCCCACAAAGCTTATAATCATCACAAAGAAGAGCAGTACAAGACTCTAGATGTAGTTAAAGATAAAAAACATGAATAAAAGTCTAGTTTCTGCTTGTTTTATTTAAAGGACTCCTTTTATGTGTTTGATCTTAAACCTCCTCAGTGTAATGTGAATCCACTAACTACTCTCAGCTATGGAATAGGACTATTTGCTGCTTTCAAATGCCAAGCATTACTTTTTGCAACTCCAAAAACCAACTGAAATTTCTTAACGCTGCTTCCTCCATTCCAAGAGAAAACGTGAGTGTGAATAAATATGTTTAGTAATAGGAGCTACTGGTTAAAGACGTAAGGAGACAAGTCCTGCTCATCACCCCTCTATGAGCAAAAAATCTTCAATCTTATACGATGCATAAAAGCAGTTCTGGTTCCGTTTGATCAAATACATCCTTTTTTTTTTGCACTACACACAAAATATTAGCCTCCACACATGGAACTGGATGGGATGACTAAAATAAACATTGAAAATTTGTTCTTATCTAGCTTGTTGTTAAACACAAACTGTGAAACTGCAGTATTAAATCATAGCTAAGTTGGGTGATATTTTATCATTGAAAGCTTTTACACTGAATGCCCTGCAAGAATCCCAGCATTCTAGCTCCTCACATTTTGTAAGATGCATTAGAGTTCTTGGCAAGATCTTTTTAAAATAGGATGTTAATCAGAAAACTACTTAAGTAGAGATCATGCTCTTATTTAGTGTTTGAGAAGCATTTGCTGCTTCTCCAAAAAAAAATTTTGACAAGTGTCATCACTATCCTTAGCCCATACAAAATCTGACGTTTCCCTAAGACTGTTTACATAAATTTGTCTTTTTTTAATATTATCATTCATTATGACTGCTCTAATATAATCAGGAATTCTTAATTTTAAGCAAAAATTCTGAGCACAGCCTCTTTTTAGAAGACCTATGTATTTAACGTTCCCATAAAGAGTTATTTATCATTTCTACCAACGGAGGTTAACTTTTTGCACTCTTATCCTTCTAAAGATACAGCCTAAAGCAAAACTTCTTCAGACTAGTAGGGCATTTCTCTGCTGCTTTTCTCATTGTTGGCTGCATCAAGCTCACGTGGAGCAATTTCTGGTTAGTCAGAGGTCTTCAGGGAAACACTACTGTCTGCTACAGCTTTATTTGAGACTTTACTCCTAAGAGGCTAACCTTCAAAAATACTACTGCAATAGCTTAAGCCAGCAAGCAGCGGCAACTGTACTTATCACAGACTCACAGAATTTTCAGAGTTGGAAGGGACCTCTAGAGATCATCTAGTCCAACTCCCCTGCTAAAGCAGGATTGCCTAGAGCACATTACTCAGGACTGCATCCAGGCGGGTTTTGAAAATCTTTGAAAAAGGAGACTCCACCCCCTCCCTGGGCAGCCTGTGCCACTGCTCTGTCACCCCAACTGTAAAGAAGTTTTTCCGTGTGTTGGAACGGAACTTCCTATGTTCCAACTTGCGCCCATTGCCCCTCGTCCTGTCACTGGGAACCACTGAGTGTGGCTCCATCCTCCTTCAACCCACCCTTTAGATATTTATAAGCAATAATAAGGTCTCCCCTCAGCCTTCTCTTCTCCAGGCTAAAGAGTCCCAGCTCTCTCAGCCTTTCCTCATAAGGGAGATGCTCCAGTCCCTCAATCATCTTGGTTGCCCTTCGCTGGACTCTCTCCAGCAGTTCCCTGTCCCTCTTGAACTGGGGAGCCCAAAACTGGACACAGTATTCCAGTTGTGGCCTCACCAGTGCCGAGTAGAGGGGGAGAATGACCTCCCTCGACCTACAGGACAAACTCTTCCCTGTGCAGCCCAGGATTCCATTGGCCTTTTTGGCAGTAAGGGCACACTGCTGGCTCATTGACAATTTACTATCTACCAGGACCCCCAAATCCTTCTCCTAGATGTCCTAGTCCTTAGATGGACAGGACTTAGTACCTACCATATGATTGCTCCTCACTTTTTGAAATGATTTCCAAAAGGCTTACTTTCCTTAACAGAAATGCTGTCGAATACACACTATCAGTCTCAAGCTTTTGCCAAAACACTCACCAGAAGTCATGCTTTTACTAGACATTAAATCAGTTTGATTTAGTTATTAGCAAGCTGATTAGCAGGTGTGTTGTACAGCATTCATACAATCTCCACAG